TTAGGAAAATCAAGAACGTTGCTGATTACCAAAAAGGCAGACATCACTTCATGGAAGCTCTTACAAATATACTAAGAAAAGTTTAAAAACATCAAATATCCTATCAATGTAACACCATTTAGGCCCTGAAAGTTCTAGTAAGTTCTGTTGTAGTGCAGTGCTGAGGCAAGAGTGCTAACACGGGCAGGAGATAGAGAAGAGAAAGTACAACCTTTCCCACAGAATTTGGGCTGTGAGAGAAGGCAGAAATTGCTGTGACTGGGCCATGTTTTTGTTTTTTTATTTCTTTGTTTGTGTTAACTTACACATAGAAGGATTTTTTTGGCATTACAGTTTCAGAGACCATTTCTCTGCTATTGATGATAATGGAGTAAAAACAGGGCAGTTAGAACTGCATCTGAGAGCTCACATCTTGGATCATAATGAGGAAGCACACTAGAAATGGTGGTAGGCTTTAAACTCTCAAAGACAACATCCATGTGCATACTTCTTCCAGCAAAAGCACATCTTTTGAGCTTCCCCAGACATCCTCAAGAAGCAAGGGCCCAAGCAATCAAATATCTGAGCCTATGGAGGACATTCTCATTCAAATCACAGCAGATAGGACTATTAATTATATGGAAAGACTTTCTTCTTCTTCTTCTTCTTCTTCTTCTTCTTCTTCTTCTTCTTCTTCTTTTTCTTCTTCTTCTTCTTCTTCTGCTGCTGCTGCTGCTGCTGCTGCTGCTTCTGCTGCTTCTGCTTCTGCTTCTGTTTCTGTTTCTGCTTCTGCTTCTACTCTTCCTCCACCTTCAGTTCCTCCCTCTCCTTTCACCTTCTATTTCTTTTTTCTGTCTTCTATCTTGTACATGCTTTGTCCAGGACTTCTGTTTTATTTGTTCTCTCAATCATGGAGTATATGTGGTTCAAAGGCAATCTGTAGGCTCCAATAGGAAGAACAAAGTTGAGATATAAGTACTTATAGCCAGATTATAGTGTTTGGTACATGTCATAAGAAAACGAGTCTATAGAGGCAAGAGAAACCAAGTGATGAAGCAGTCCTAGATATCTCCTGTATCTAAAGGAAAGATTATGGTTTTCATGCATGAACAGGTAGGCTTGTTGTTTACTAGAAAGATTAAGAAGAGAGGTTTGTCAGATTGTGTTTTCTCTATCAATAAATGATATGGATGCCTTTTCCTAAGGAGATGTATATGTTCAAGCTCTAAGTCTGCAGGATAAAATGATGTTGCTATGGAAAATGGAAAGAAGAGTTCAAGAGACAAGCTGTGTTTGGACCTAAGAGCCTGCTTGTAACTTAGGGTTATGAATTTATGGTATGATCTGCAGTGTTATATTATTTATCATGATTTATTTAGCCTTCTGGATTTAGGGACAGAAGGTAGCAACTATGGATTTCAACTAAGGCTTTGAGAAAAAAAGAAAGCTAAAAGCAATAACAGCCTTGGTTGGTATGTGGACTATGTGAACTCTCTAAAGACAAAAAGTAAAGCATCAAAGACATTGGCAGAGTTCTAAAAGTAGGAAGACTATAACCCTCACACACATATACACACACAATCACACACAATTTCTCTCTCTCACAAACACACACACATACACACACACACACACACACACACACACACACACACACACACATATATATATATATATATAAAATCATGTATAATTTCACACACACACACACACACAGACACAGTCATAACTTCCAGGAAAAAAATGAGAAGTTGGACAAGTTGATAGGTCTCAGATGATGCCAGGACATATTACAAAGCCTCTGCTACAAAGAACATGCTTTGGATAATATGAAATCCTGATTGCCAGATTATCATGAAAAGTGCAAGACTGCTCTGAAGATAGTCTTGCCTTGCCTGCCCTAGTTGAGGACCCAGATTGGTAGAAAGAGAAGGTGATAGATACCTGACTATCCACACTGGCAATTAATTCCTGTGGGGTAACTGTTCCATTCTTATCTCACCCAAGAGTGCAGTGAATAATTGGGGGGGGGTATTACTGAAGACAAAGAAAAAAAATGTTCATGTATAAGAATGGAAACTCAGTGTGGAAGTGAAAAAAAAATTAATGGAATTCATCAGCTTGAGTCTGATCAAACAGAACCTGCAGGGGAACAATAGGAGCTCTCTGCTAACTCCCAGTGTCACTGCTCTAGGAAGAGAAACTCTCCTGAGTGCACAGTGGGTATGAAAAGTGAGAGGCTCCTTGACAAGTGTGTTTATCAAGTACATCTGCAGAGTTATTTTGAACGCTCAGTTGCAGCTCTGTCACTTCTCTCCCTGCTCATTTAACATGATGGACTTGTTTGGCAAATCCTTCAGGTGGTAGCAGGATGCGAAGAGGAGGAAGCTTAGTCTGGATCATAAAATAAAAATATTGGCCTCTTTCACATCCTCCAACTCTTATTTCTCCTCACCCTCCTTGGTCATCATACTTCTTTGTAGTAAAGAAAATGAATGGCCAGGTGCTAGAACCTTGTGCATCTGTTAATTAGTTGCTCGTAGCACCATGGACAAAAGATTGTGCTTTGAATTCTTGATTAGGGGAAAGGTTTAACCAGTCCTTCTATATGTGTGTTATAGAATGCCTGGCAACCTGGTGAAGGATGTGACACCTATGCCAGTACCCACTGGCCTCTATCCATCCTGTATACTGCACAGGCTGCCAAGCTTTCAGTGAACTTGTTTTTGATTTTTGTTTTTGGTTTCCTCCAGAGAACAGGCTTGTAGGTTTTTGTTTTTGTTTTTGTTTTTTTTTTTTTTCAGCATATACAACTGCAATTCAAGGGAGTTAAATAGTCAATCTGAGAAGCTCTGAACACATTAGTATTGAGCCTCAACTCTAAGCCAGGTACATCCCCAAGTAGTACATTAATAATCAGGATACTCTTGGGAATCATTGTCCTACGAATACAGCAAGAGCAAGAAGGAAGTGTTCAGTTTTTCAGTAGTGATATTTTTTAAGAGACAAACTAAAATGAAATTAATTTCAGCAGAATTTGATTTAACAAAACATATCTAGATTATTGTCATTTATTTGTATGTTATCACAACTAAATTAGCGTGATGATACTTTATATTGCATTTTTATAATGTCTATTACACAAACAACACATCTTAGTTCTCACCAACCACATTTCAAATGCTTAAAGGCCACAAAAAGTTCCCTGGCCACAGGACTAGGTCACTAAGCTCTAGAAGAAATTTATGGGAAGGACCTTGCTGTAGCAGAGAGATTACAGAGAGGCCTTCTTATGTGCCCTATGGTTCTAAAATAGCACGTGTAACAGGGCTGAAATCTCTCCCCTTCTTGTTTCTCTTTGCCCCATGTGATAGCCATGTCTTTTAAAATTGCATGGATCCATCCTTGTGTATGTGTGTGTGTGTTTTCTTTTCTTTTTTATTTATTTTACATATCGATCCCAGTTCCCTCTCCCCACCCCACCCCTAACCCCACCCCAAGGGAGGATGATGCCTTCCAAGAGAGATCCATGTTCAGGGGTTCTGAGTCAGTCCAATGCTGATTTCCCAGCTATCAGTCTGAGGGGTCCATTAGTTCCCCCTTGTTCAGGTCAGTTATCTCTGTGGGTTTCTGTAGCCTGGTCTATGGATCTCCACCAAATTATGAGATTCTCAAACAAATTTTGTGTTACATAGAATTAATGAAAAAAGGGAGGTCATCATAAAGGTTTGAATGAATCCTTCACTGTTTTAAATTGAGCAGTTATTTAATTGTTCTTATTTCTTTTTTTCTGTGACCTGATCTTTTATATCTGTACAGAGCCTACCCAGTGAGCTATAGGAAGGCAAAACTAGATTATGCATTTAATGCAATACCTAAAGATGAGAGTGAAATTGTTATATTATTATTTATCTTTATTATCTTCATATTGAACATTAATATTAACAGAATTCTTACACATGCAAAATAAGAGAAGGGTATTTATTATGAAGTTACAAGCACCTTTATTATTAGTGTGCACTTTGTCTTGAACATGTAGCTTTATGCAGTACTTACGTTTTTTATTTTAAATTTTATTCATTTTTACATACCAACCACAGTTCCCTCTTCCATTCCTCCAACTCCTCCCCACTTTCCCAACCCATACCTTGATCCACTCCTCAGTAAGGGTAAGGCCTCCCATGGAGAGTCAACAAAGCCTGGCACATTAAGGAACCAAGCCCCTCCCTGTTGTATCAAGGTTGAACAAGGCATCCTATTACAGGGAATGGGTTCCAAAAAAGCCATCTAATGAACCAGGGATTGTGGTCCACTGCCAGGGTCCTATAAACAGACCAAGCCATACAACTGTCACCCACATGCTGAGGGCCTAGTTTGGTAATTGACCAACCCCAGTGTATGGAACATTTGTACTTCTTTCTGTATATGTTTTATCACACTAAATCTTATTTTGAAGAATTTTAGGTAGAAATAGTCCCCAAATTCTCATACTACTTAAAGTTTTATTATTTAATGGGCTTTTCAAATGCTCTTTTGTCTGTTTATAATAATAATATTATGATTCAAAATACTTAACTATAATAAATGAATTTTGTATATGTGCAAAATAATAGATGTATGTAACAGACAATAGCCATTTTCATTATACATCTGCCTTTTAATTAATATTGAAAATATTTGGCATAGCAGCTTGAAGTGGTAGATTTCAATGTAGCTTGGGGTGTGTTCAGATGCAGGACCTAAACAAATATGTCTGCTATATTTGAGATGATTAACAAAGAGCAGTAAACCATGTGAAATTATCATATGAGGTCATCAAGGTCACACATTGACATTTACCATGTATGTTTTTTTCTTAAATAACACAAAGGGTTTATTTTTCCTTACTATAAAAACAAAAAAATTAGATGGTCTGGGCCACATCCGTAATTTGTCTTTGGTCTTAATAGTAGAAGATTTAAGCTTGTAGCTGTTTTCTTGCTTCTTTCAATTAATCTTACTGTCTCCTCATTCCTAAACAGGGGTTACTACATTATAATTGTGCCTTTGAAGAAGTCTCGTGGGAAATTCATCAAGCCATGGGAGAGCCCTGATGAAATGGAGTTAGACGAGGTAACTTTGTCTGTGTCTGTCTTTCCTTAGTTGTCCTATGTAGGCCTCTTGGAATTTTGTTCAGGCATCCCCTATGGTACATCTGGCAAATTTAGTGAACCAGGGATGTGGGCTCACTATACCCTAGAAATCCTACCAACAATTCTTTTGTTTTAATTACAAGATTTCAACCAGTTTTGTCTTTGTTGCCATTGTTCTTTTGCTATCTATCCTTGTAACCATGACACAGAAATATGGAAGGTAATATCATTACTCTTGATAAAATTCAAGAAGACTTAATTAATTTGGCAGTTGCCAAGGCTGTTACAAATACTTAATGTACTTTTTAACACATTGCATTTAGCCTGCCACATAATCTTCAGCATATTTTCACAGAATTCTACCAAGTCCAGGACACATATTTCCCTTATTCTCTGCTCTATAGGTTTTCAAAATAAAAATGCATTTCAGAGCAAAGCAAAATCTGAGCAAAGAAGGAATATAGCGCAAGAGGCAGAAAACACTAAAAAGTTTGCTATCAACTTCCAAAGTCTTATAACTACATGGTTTAAATTCTCCTTCATGAAATACAAGCACTTTTTTTAAAAATGTTTTGTTTTATGTGTACATGTGTTTGTGTACTGTGTGAAGGCATGGTACCTGTGAAGATCAGAAAAGGGTGCTGGATCCCTTGGAACTGGAATTATACATGGCAGTGAACCCCCATGTGGTTCTGGGAATAAGGTCTGGGTCCTCGGGAAGAGCACTATGTTCGTGCTCTTAACTGATAAGCTGTTTCTTCAGCCTCATTTATTTTTTAAAAGTTATTACATACTTCTGTGCACTGAGAAAATTAAACCCTATAATTACCGAGATCACAGACATGAGCAGGGCCAGCCATTAGAGCTAGGAGTCACATTTGAAATACTACAAAGACTTTGTAACAAAAGTTTCTAAGTTTATGAGCTCCTCCCAAAAAATGGGAAGTTTTAATATATGTGGCTCATTTAGAACATGAATTGTAACTCAAATTAATCCTATTAAGTCTGTATATTTTTTATGCCTCAGTTTAGTACAAAAGGACCAACGACAATGATTAATAACTTAACTATATTACTTGGAATTGTTGGTGTTGTTTTTAGTTACATTTATAGGAGTAAAAGCTGGGGAAGGGGTGGAGGTCCCAAGTGAGGGTCCCAAGTGTGTGGGGTCCCAAGGTAAGTGTCCACGTGGGAAAGCATAGCAGGTTCCATAGCAGGTGAGGGTAACCAAGGCCGGAGGGAATAACACGCCAGGCAGATAGAACTTAAATGAAGAGTGTATTTAGAAAGGGAGTAAGGGAGAAGGGAAGAGACAGAGAGGCACCAGGAACAGAAGAGAAGAAAGGGGTAGAGAGGGGGGAAACAAAAGGAGAGGGGAGTACCTACTGGTGGCCAACCGAAAGCAGGAGACAGAGAGAGAGGGGGGGGGGTGGAGAGAGAGAGAGAGTGCAGAGCTGGAAGGCAAAAGAGCATAAAAGAGAGCATAAGTGGGCATGGGTGTGACCTTTAAAGGGGTTCTTTACACTTGCCTGCAGACTAATACTTATGAAACCCTGGGCTGATCAGAGTACTGCCTGAGTGCATTCTGCCAGGTGACAGGAGCAGGCCAGCATAATGCCGGAATTCTTACAGTTGGTGGTTTTGAAGTGTGTCTGCACAGAGATGACTGTGATCTAACAAAAAGGAAGGGGATTTGGGGTGGGGCTTACATCCTTCATCAGACATGCATCATCTCTACAAATGCGACGCATCACCTGCCTGTTTAATGAGTTAAATTTGTTCAGATTCAGAAGGCTAGACAAGTTGAAGGTCAGGACTCCAGTTGTGTCACTGTCTAGTGATTAGGCAATGTGGCTGCAGTACCAAATGACACATTTCAGTAATGTGGTCACATAACTTAATTATCAGTTTATCTTCTGTCAGTTATATTAGAGAAACTGAATCCTTTCTCTAAGCAGTTAACCCTAAGTCAATCTGTACTATTTAACTAGTTCTTAGCTGAATTATAGAGTTGTCATTATCACACTTTTGTTAAAATTGGATTTTTAAATGCAAAGATAAATTGTGGAATCTATAAATATTTCTACCTATTAAAATGGGTTTTCAAAGCAGTGGAGTGCAAGGCAAAAGGACATCAAATGCTTTCAGCAATAACCTTTTCTTAGAAGTGAAGCCACTTGATAGGAAGGAATAGAAAGTGATTCTCTTTTACAGCCAAGTTTTAACCTCTGGAATGCACAGAAATGCTAATGGATTCAAATATAAGACTATGTGACATTGAACTTTCTTGCAGTTAAATTCCACAGGTCTGTGCTGCGTATTCCCATAATAAAGGGTCATTTAATCACCCTTTGAGTTGTGGTGCATTAATCTGTATAATAGCTTGATAAAGAACATTTTATTAATTCAAAACTTTTGGGTCAGGATGGGTTGTTTCCCACTCTTCTTACTGATATAATTGAGACCACATTGCAGAATTAATGGTGGAAGAAATAAGATATGCATTGACTGGAAAATGAAAATTATTTCTGATAAAGAACTGAAGCCCTTGGTATAACTTCTGGAATTATGTCCAATATATTTTGTAACTGTTGTGGAGGGGAACAAATGAAAGTAGGCTATGGCCTCACGTTTTGCCTACTCATCCTGCTTCTGACATCTACACACAGGGCTTGTTTTTCACCTAGTGTGTATGAAAAAAAGGTTTCTTAGTAATTTTAATTTGAACTTGATACTACTTGGTTTGACACAGTAGAGTTCTCTTAAATGTATATGACCAGGAGTTTTTTTTGGGAAGGCCTATAACTCATATTGTTGGAAATACATCAAGTATTTAGGAACAAAGCCTAAAGATGTGTGTCTCACATCTAGACCTATACATGATGTAAAAAGCTTTTTTTTTTAATGAATTACTCTCAAAATTATATTCTGAGCTCACTTGCAGTTTTATTCTGGGTTATTATCTGAATGATAAATTCATAGACTGGAATTCCTGTCCTCAAGGTCAAACTGAGCAGACCAGCCATTGAAATTTGCAATGAATTTTGGGCAGGATGACTCCTAAATGTTAGTTGTATTTATTTCGGGGCAAGTGATGTAATGTGCCAAAACTTTTCATTGCACTGTACTTCAAACCTTGTCATAAAGTAATGAAGTCATTTGTGGCTATAATTTCAGCATCTTGGTTAACTTTTGTGTCATTTAAACTCACTTGGGCCATTTAAAGTATAACACTGGAAGCATCCTAAAGGAATCTTTTAAGTCATGGTCTTCCTCCAGATTACACTTCAGTGAATAGCTGCACTGGATCTAAAGAACACAAAAGTGTCCTAATAGTTAATCCTGAGGCACTGGCTTTATGTTTCCTAAATATTCCCTAGCAAATGGCAATCATGGTGATAACATTGATAAATTATGACAGCTGCCTATATCTGAAATGTGAATAGAACCAAGGTAGGGTTTGATCAGTTAAGTAGAAGCAGGAATACAGTCACATAAACAACTGATGTTAAATGGTTTTGATTGACCAACTTCAAAAGACTGTTGTGTATGTCAGTAGTATACTGCCACCAAGACTGTCATTTATTGCACAATGGCAATAACCTATGTCGTCACCTTTAAAGTGTAATATTATGTTAAATATTTGGTATTATAATTTTATAATTTTCATGTTAAAAAACTGCAGGAAATAAAAAGATCATATTCATCTATGTTAATGAAAGCAGATACCCAGAATTTACATACATACTGAGAAAAAAGTATTCAAATCATAAGTGTTTATACATGGCATTAGATTTCTTGAGTTTGTGCAAAAAAAATAGATTATATAAAAGTTAGGTAGAAAAGCCTCTAATATGTGTCTCTCTTATGGATGGTTTAAATTTGTTTTGTCACCCATGAAGTCCATTCATACAACAAATACTTCTATCATTCCCCAATTTGCTCATTTTGAATTGGAGATAATTGTGATCTGTTTTACATGGTTATTGTGGTGAGCAAATGAACTAATATTCATTTCAGTTTCTTGAAATAGTGTCTGGTACCCAGTAAGTGTTAACTAATGGTCATCATCATCATTATATGTAAACCTATGTTGCAACAGAATTGTAAAGTAAATTTCTGTTCTTTTGTCCCAGAAGTTGGAGCACAGTTGAGTGGCCTACATAGATACATGAATACACAGAATTTAGATCCAGATTTGTCAAACAGATTATGTTTAATCCCACTTCTACCAATGGCTTATATCTCATATAAGTTTAGTTGTAGAAATAAGCTAAAATTTCACAGATATTTTTAAAGCATGATAACTATTATTGATACATGTCATAGGAACAAATTATTAATTCGCCAGAGGGCTATCTTCCATATTTGAGCTGGGTACATTTATAGCTCTCAGGATAAAACAGACCATATTCCCTGTGGTTGCTGACAGAAGCATTTGAGTTTAGGCAAGACCCCTAACAATTTCCACTCAATTCCTGCCTTGGTTATAATACTATTTCTTTCTTTCCTTTTTAAAAATGTGATGTATATGTATGAGTGTATTCCTCTATGTACAACTCCTCCCCATACACATGCTGGCACCCACAGAGGCCAAATGAGGGTATTAAAGCCTGTGGTACTAAAGTTACAAATGGTTGTGAGCCACCATTTGCATTCTGAGAATCAAACCTAAGTCAACTGAAAGAGTAGCCCTTAACTTCTGAGGTATCTATCTCTCCATCTCTTGCCAGCATTTCTTTGTACAAAATATATTTCACCAATTTGGTTTTACTATTTCCTTTCCAGCATAAAAACTAAGTATAATAGTTTTACTACCAAGCCTAAGTCCTGTACTTTGTTTACCAGGATGAAGGTTGTGTTTGTCCTCAGACACATCACCCCCTTTCTCCACAGACACTAAAACAAAATAAAAATTCTTTTTAAAAAATCCACTCAAAATTTCTCACTTACCTCCAAAGGCATTCAAAACTGCTGAAGGCTTCTTTCCAGTTAGATTCTATAAATTAATGTGTGACAGGAGAAGACAGAGATAACATTACATTGTTTTCAAATCAATTCTCATATCATTAATGAGATTGTCTCCTAAGGAAAGTCAATGAAAAGCAATGAATTATTCAAACATTAAGTTTAGGTTTCCTTTTCCTCAGAAATACAAGAAGTGTGTGTGTGTGTGTGTGTGTGTGTGTGTGTGTGTTTTCTTTCCTTCAAGACATTGTAATTTATTCTTACCTACCCTGCCAACCATGTCATCTGTTTAAATACTTACTCCTGGGAGCTATATTCTGGGCAATGGGAAAGTCAGGTGTATTTTCTAATCTGGTTAGCGAAAGAGGGAAGCTGAACCAGGCACAGAAATGAGTGACAACTTATTTGAATAAGTAAAAAAAAGTTACTCCTTAGATTCCAAGTCCGCTGACTTTAGAGAATTTTCATCATGCAAATTATCCCATTGGTGAAACAGTGGCATCTTCTATGAAAACTGGTTACTAATTGTTTCATGAATCTCCCATGAGACCAGGCTTTTGTGAATCAAGCTGTGCTTCTTCCTTAAACAGGTTATGATGTAGTCTTGGCCTTCCAAAGAATTTCGTTAGTACAGGAAATTATATGAGCTTCCAGTAAAGATCTAATGCCCTGTGTTTAAAGTCTGGCCCTTGCAAATCAGTTTGCCATCTTAACTAACAGGAAGCAAGAGATTGAAAATCAGAGCTGATGTGCTGCAGGAAAGGTGAACAAATTGTGTCAGGTTCTTCCCAGCCCTGGATTAATTTCTCCTCTAAGACATCAATAAGTTGGTTGTTTATGTTTCTTTTTTCTGTTTGTCACTTCTTCCTTAAGCTGCTTAAGGAGATATCTAGGAAGCGCAGAAGCATCCGTTATGGGAGAGAAGTTGAATTAAAGCCATATATTGCTGCTCACTTTGATGTCCTTCCCACTGAGTTCACCCTGGGGGATGACAAACATTATGGTGGATTTACAAACAAGCAACTCCAAAGTGGACAAGAATATGTTTTCTTTGTGTTAGCAGTGATGGACCATGCAGAGTCTGTAAGTTCATTATAATGACTTCTGTTTCCTACACTTGTCTATTTTCACCACTGTGCATGTTTGCTTGGGGATGTGCCTGTATGTACCCCAAGTATTTCTCACCAACTGTTATTAATGGAAGTGTATTACTGGACTGTCTGTCCTTCCATCATTGCTGAGCATTTGCATTACAAACAAGATGACATTTCAAGTGACAGGAATTTCAGGTTTGAAGTACCAAATTGATAGAGCATAGGTCTGTAACACACAATGTACTGTTCCCTCCACTATCACTAAGATTTCCCTCTAATTTCATTGGAAATTATTTGCTTTAAGAAAAAAATACTGTTGACATGTAACATGATCCAGGAGATGTTAGCCTATGTAGTAGGTTAGGAAGCAAAAGGCCCTGTTATTCAAATAGCATGTTGGAAAACATGGACCAAGGAAGTTATTTAATTTATTTTCCTGTAACTGTGAGTACACAGTGATTATACTCAGATTCAGCAGTGTTTCTATAAAGAGCTGAGTGCAAGCAGCATCTTCAATTATAGAAATGTATAAGTGACTTTATCAGTGAAAAGCCGAGAAAGTTACAGAATAATTCAATGAGAGTGAGAATTCCTAAGGTACTCTAAATAATGGCTTTCCTTGTTTTATGTAATTCATCTTGCTCCTATGTCATTTTATGCTTCTGTGGCTTTCAATGCTTTAAAAATTGAAAAGAAAAGTGGAGAAACAGACTGAAAGGAAGGTAGATGTTTAAACTAGTGGATCACATTAACATTTAATAGAAATATTCCTAACTGTGTCCCTATCAAGGCATAAATCTGGCATGTTTGGCAACTGAGGTGAGTTAGTCTCTTTAGTTAAGAAGTCCACAGTTTATGAAAGATCTGTGTATCAGGTGTTGTCTTGCACATCAGGTATTCTCTTCAAATTACTAGAGGAGGTCTCATGGAAAATTGGACGACAGAGGCAGCCTCATTTACCTTTATGTGTAAATGTCATTTGATGACCTTCCTGGTATTTCAATACATCAAAATGTTCTTTGTATGTAGTTGAAGGTTTTAAAGGGAAATATCAAGGGACTGGTATGTTAGACACTTTTTTTTCCTGTAAAATAAAGTATACAGATACTTAAGAGGAAATTTCATCCTCTTCTAGGAGTGTTTTAGAAGGTATACTTAAAACACTTAGGTAAATCACAGCCAAAACAGCTCACCCAATCCTGCAGACTGATGGTGGTGCCTTTCTTGGGGACTATGGGTTCTGAAGTCTCCTAGATACCCCACTTATGTCTAGATTTCTCCCCATTGATGCATTGTATTTCTCTCTTAGCATCCCACTATCTCATTAATTCTATAATCAATAAATATTTTCAACTTTGTTTTCTTAATTACCCCCCATCTCTAATATGTTTCTTTTGTTTGATGATTTCCTACATGCACCTGAGTATGCTTCAATAAATCTATCTGTATTCCCTCACCGGCATTTTCTTCTCTATTCCCCATGACTTTTTATTCCCAACTTCATGTGTTCTGGTTTTGTTTTACAGGTTTTGGTTTTGGTTTTGGTTTTTTTTAAGTAAGTCCACATGGAGCTAGCAGTATGTGCATGAGTATAGGACCATCTGTTGGAGCACAGGTAGCTCTCATGTTCTGCTTTCCTGAAGAACTCTCCCTCCTACATAGACATCAATTGCCAATAATGCTGCATCTAAGAGTAGGATTTTAATACCCACCCAATACTACCATACTGTTATTTTTGTCTGGTTTGATATTTCATATGTCCTGCTCTGCTGAGTTCTTACAATCTGGAAAGCACTCTTTCCTTGTAGTCACCCACTGCCTTTAACTCTTTCAGTCTTTTCACTCTGTCTTTCATCATAATCTCTGAACCGTGGGCATACAATTGATATAGATGTCTCATGGGGCTGGTAACCATCACTCTATAGTCTCTTGTTCTCTGAATGCTGACCAGGAATGAATCTTTGTGTTATTCACCTCATACTATAAAAAGATGAGGTTTGAGATGCACTAATATATGAGTAAAAACGATGAATCCTTAGCAGTCAACTGAATACTGTGTTCACTTAATTGAGCTAGAGTTGTAAGTTCTCCCCTAGGGCCTAAGGCCTCTCTAGCCACAAGTTCTTGGCCCCAACTGTGTTCTATTATATTTCTTGATATTGATCTCAAAATAAACAATGCTTTATTTATATGTCATGTGTGGTTAGACTAGCATTTTCTTCATAATCAATAGCTGTATCCAGTTTTCAGTAATACGATACTTTTGGAAGATTCATGTCTCTGTGGCTGATTAGTAATAATAACTGTAATCATTCCAATTGTTGTTTGGCACTTTGCAGAAATAAAAAACACTTCTCTGACCTTTATACCTCCCCAATACACAGCTTTTTGCTAATCTTTTGGCTCCTATAAAGAGTACCACAGACTTTTTAAATGATATGTTTAATATTTTTTTAATTATTTCTTCCCACTTAGCAAATTCTACTTTGCAAGAGGCTGGTATTATTTTATGCCTTTTCTTTCTTTTCCTTTTTAACATACATCTCTTTCCTGACTTACGTTAGAAATTCATGTGATCATGGAAGCCTTTTCTTTACATTTCCATTTTTATTGACCATTTTGATTATTATCTCAATGCCATTTGGTAAATAATTTCAAATCAGCTGGTTTGATCACATCTATCAATTTGAGCATAGCCTACAAAATGAAAGGGATCCTATGACAATAATCATTTGAAGAATATGTTTCCTTGACATGTAAGCTCAATGCTTAGTTCTTTATGTAACTTACTATATAATATATATGTAAATCATATTTATCGATCCTTGCTCCAAGACTTCCTATCCCCTCCTCTCTCACTTGCTTTCAAGTCCTAGCTCAGATGTTCCAAAAATATCCCGAATGTTTATCCATTCAATACATAGAAAATCATGAATATCTTTTTAACCTCCATCCTGGGAAGTAAAGAAAATAGAAAACAATAGGAAAATGCAAGTATGAAGTGGCACATTTTCTCTGCTTATCTATTGAGCTTGTACTATATTCAGACTATATTCAGAAAAAAATGGAGATCAAAAACTTAACTGTACTTCCTGATCTTAAACAAGAATATCCATTTTGTAGCATTCTCAATTCTTTGAAAGAAATGAGGATTTTTTTATTGTTGTATTTTATTCAGCCAAAAAAAAAAATGCTGAGAACTTTTAACACATAAACACAAACAGTATACAAACCCCAAACCTTGCAGGAATTTAGTTTCATCTGAGAAAATGAAGTGTTCATACACATCTTTGAAAACAGAATTGTTTGCGTGCCTTCAAACAGGAAATGAATGGCTAAATACAATTGTTATGTTTATATCCAGTGTTTGTGTTTTTGTTTGTTTTGTTTTGTTTTAGGACTGAATTCCACCAGTAAACAAAGCAGTATTTAAGTGGGTCCTTGAAAAGTAGTTGGATTTTTGGAGCTAAATGTTATGGAGCTTGTGAATATGTTAATTAGCAAGGATAGAACATTTATGAAGCAGCAACAAAAGCTCACTGTGATAGAATTATTAACTGTGGTAAGAAGGTTTAAAACAAAAGTGCTAAGGCTCCTTATAACTATAGTGAGATACATGGATTTCATGGAGGGATTTCAAAAAAGAAAGCATCTTAAAGTCTTTGAAGTTGCAAGTAAGGATTATAACTCCAGTAGCAGTTGTAATTATTAAAATGCAGAAACTTTGGGTATGTATAGGAGTGTATTTATGAGGCTCTAATGAACAAATAGTATCTATGAGACCAGCAGTTTAACCGCAGGTCTAACCTGCAGTCTCCATTCACAGTGAAAACTTAAGGAATTGAGTATCAAGACAAAGATGTATCTGGGCAGAAAGGAAGCTCTTCATTTGAACCTGAGTGTTCAGGCAATTGGGAATGACACTCTGCCTTGTTCAAATAGTTTAAACTGGTAGGAAGAAGCCAGTGAAATACAGAATTACAGAAAGCCAGGAAGGGACTTATTAAGTCTTACTCCACAGAGGCAAGTCTGAAAAGATACTTAAAACCTAAGGACTGAAGAAAGACAATTAGATTTAGTAAATGTTATACTAAACATCACAATTAACTGAAAATAGATGAGTAAATGGAAGGCGATACCTAGAACCAGTGGGCATGGATTGAGTTGTGGAGTAAAACAAAGAACTTAGAAAGTTGTAGGATCAAGAAAACGCTTCATTGTGTGTGTGTGTGTGTGTGTGAGCGCGCGTGTGTGTTTGATAAAGGGTTTCTCTGTGTAATGGCCTTAAATATCCTGGAACTCACTGTGTAAAGCAGACTGGTCTTGAAATCAGAGATCCACCTGCCTCTGCCTCCCAAAGTGCTGGGATTAAAGGCATGTTTTACCACACCGTGCAAAATTGTTTCATTTTGAATTGAACAAAATAGAAAGGAATAGGATATTACAGAAACAAACCCTGTTCTTTATTGAGTAACTGTGTTTTGATCCATTTCCTACTGGAAACATGTATATGAACTTTCAATTGGTAGCTGTCATGAATGTAACTAGAAACTACTAAATCCCTTAAGTTCTAATAATTCTGCTTCACCACGCCGTTCCATCAGTTCCATATATCTTGATTTCTAATTGGCGTTCTCTTTTGTAGCTGTATATTTAAATGCCCTAGAAATGTTGCGTTCATAGAAGTGCTGGTACGTTCTTACCTTGCATGAAACAGTGGTGTTTTTTTTTTTTTTTTTTCCCTATGGAAAATTTTGCTAGTGCTGATCTCTGTAACTTCATGACATGAGTTGTTTCATGTCCAAGATCTTGGAACAACTGTGTTTCTGATTTCAGAGTATTGAGGCCTGCTCACTGGAATGTTTACTTAGATTTTAACATTCCAAACTCCCCAAATCTGTAAAATATCCTGTAATCATTCAAAACCTTTTGGATTTTGATTTACTGTTTGGATTGGGAATACTCATAACATCTTTATTTTCACACAGCAATTAATATATTACTACCATGGAAATGAGCATTGATTGTTGTTTAATTCTTTTTACAACATAGTTCATTTCTTTACATTATTTTCCCTCTTCCTTCAACCCTCCATGTACTCCACTTGCTATCAAATTCATGACGTATTATTTAAATTACTAGTGTGTGTGTGTGTGTGTGTGTGTGTGTGTGTATGTTTGTGTTCCTAAACATATAAATACTACCTGCGTTATCAGTATAATGTTACTTCCACATGTATATGTTGTCAGGGAAGATCATTTGGTGTTGGATGACTATTTGCTTTTGGATAACCAAATGGTGAGCTCTTCCCTAGCGAAGACTATTTCACATCTCCCAGCATTCCTTAGTTGCCTTTAATTCTTTGTGTAGAGTAGAAGCCTTATGAGATTGCCCCCTTCTAAATTACCATATCTGTTTGTATTTGTGTTATTAGTCAGCCATATTGGTAGAATTTCATGAGTGTAGCACCCCTGACACTTCTAGTAGACACAATCTCATAGTAAACTTCCTGTTCCTGTGGCTCTTCTGTTCTTTTCATTCTGCCCCTTCTTCCACAGTGACCCTGTGCTTTAGGTGCAGCCATGGTGCTGCATCAATCGGTTGAAACTGATATCCACAACACTGCATTGTTCTCAGTTGTGTTTTCCTACAATGGTCATTCTCTTCTTTTTTGTAAAGAGAAGTTTCATTAGAGGAGGGATGAGAACTGTAATCACCTGTAGATATTAGGATAAATATTTAGAGTGCAGTAAGGATTCTACTGATTTCATAATGCAAGTGCCAACAGATTCTCCTTCCAGATCTGTGACTTCACTAGCTGCAGATAATCGGCTAGGCTTCCCAGTATCAGGTGTGGTTTCTCTCTTCATGAGTGGGCCTGAAGTCCAATTAGAGTGTTGTTGGTTATCACCAAAGCAGGTTTGCTACTACTGTACCCTTAGAGTTACCATGCTATGTTAGTTGTTGTTATGGTTCATAGGCATCATCATACCTGGATAGGACTTCTGTTTCTCTCCCTTAGAAGCTTGTATGGCTCCTTCTGGTACACTGAATACTGGTGTTGACAAAGGAGACTTTCAGGTCAAAACCGGCTCAGGTTCTCTGAATCCTGTGTCTGAAATGCATAGTGTCTTTAGCAAGAGGAACTTACCTTTGACTTCTAGGAGGCAACCAAAGAAACAGCAATATCTTGTTTGGGGGAATCACATGGATAACCCTTACCAATAACTCAGAAGAAGGTGTCTCATGCCTGTTGGCCAGGGAAGGTTTTAAAATAGACTATGATTCTTGATGGGAACATTATCAGCCCAGATTTGATACTTACTTGTTGGTATTTTACACTTCATGAAACTATATATGTAAATGCCATAATTAAGTAACTTTGAAGCCATTTACACCATTCAAAATGATTTTATCGTGTTTCTCTATTTCCAGCATAGTAGAATGTCCTTTCCTCTCATGTTTGCTTCCTTTTTTAAAACCATTCCTCCCCCAATATTTGTTTAACTTGATTTCATCAACCTATTATGAAATACATTAAAACCATAACTTTTCCCTATCTAAGCATTAAAAATACCCTTGAGAAAGGCATTACTTTCTAACTAAAGTGGACTATGTTTATCCTTAGAAGATGTATGCAACCAGCCCATACTCCGACCCTGTTGTGTCAATGGATCTGGATCCACAGCCAATCACAGATGAAGAGGAAGGCTTGATATGGGTCGTAGGTCCTGTGCTTGCTGTGGTCTTTATCATCTGTATTGTGATTGCTATTCTTCTGTATAAAAGGTAAGTCTGCTCTATAGTTTAATTGACTTTGAGGACTATCTTGATTTGGAAGAATAATACAATTTTCTATGATTTTATTGTAAATTTTACATATTTGAAGACAACCCAGTAACTAATATTGGAAAAATATATTGTGGTTATGTCTAAAACAAACTGGCATAACTGAGCTTGTGGTGTCATCTTTTATGGTACAAAATGTACTTTTTCAGCCTCCATATTTTATGATGTATTTTGATGACCAGTTTTCATGATAGCAAGGTATTGGTACATCCCAAACAGCTGATTCTATACAAGCTTAATTTGGTTTGTAGATGATTATTTCTGAAACACACTTTTACACATTTCTATTCATTTTATAAATGTAATGTGTACACGTGCTAAAATGTTTCCCTATTAGCTGTTTTTGAGTGTTTAGCAAACATTGAAGGATTAAGGATTTAAAAAACAAAGAGATAAAGAATTAATTCCCTCTTGGTTTCTCTGCATCTTTTGCCAAATATTCCACTATTAAATTTTCATCAGTGTTCAAGAAAGGGTGATCAGAAAGTACTGTCATCTAATTAAAACAAATTTCTAACCATGGTCCTATATGTCTCAATATTTACCTGATTAGTATTTTGTCATTTCTGCCATTATTCCTTTCTTCTTATGTTCATAACATAAGCTTGTTTTTTTTCTTTATGATCTCTGATTTTCTCTGAAAATTGTGTCTTAGAAGCATCTATTCTATTTATCCATCACAGAGGGAAAGTTGAAATGATAAAAAGACAAAGCATAGTTTATAATCATGATCCATTAAGTTGCCTAATCTATCTTGGAGTTAGGAGATAAATATTCTTAATTATCCTATCAATCCCTATTTATCCTTCCAGGTACTGCCATCACATGATTACTCAAGCTGTAAGGTAGCTGAGAGTGTGTGATCAATGACAGAATCTCCTCTTAGTTGATTGTTTGAATCTCCCTATTTCAGTCTTTATCTTATTGGCATGTATCATAATGGAGGCTGTTAGTTTTTCTCACCTCTCCTCTGTATAAGACATAAAAGTAAAAGATAATTGTGGTCCACAAGCTCCAGTCCAGTCATAGATCCTTTATGACTTAAGGCAAGAGTTGGCACCCATTCCTACAAAGTGAAAGAATGATTCCTACACTGGAATTTGGCCAGAAAGTAAGCACCTATTCACAGGTTCCTTTCTAGCCATTGCCTTGTGGCCTTTCTTAAATTCAAAATGTGCAGAATGCATGCCTTATTTTCAGGTCATGTTTTATTATGATATACCAAGAAATTAGGAAGTAATTCTATTGTGTTTGTAATTTAATCATGTAACCGTATGAAATTAAAAACTATAACCTTGATTTTTTTAACACTATAACTACATTTGCCTTGATTCATCTACATATGCTTGAAAAGAGTGAACTCCTTTATTATTTTTCCTAATCCTGCAAGAGGAAGCATCTTATTTAAAGGTTTCATGACTCTGTTAAAAGACTTGTATTTTCGTGTGTGCACATGTAGCATCGTCTAATGTGATTGTCGGAAAACGCATACATCCTCGAATGCTAAGTATATTTAGCTAACCATCTGAAGGCCAGGGAGCATTTCTATTTCAGAAATGCTTGCTTCAGCACTAAAAAAACGTTCCTGACTTGAAATTTAAGTAGACCCAACAATGTCCTTCTTGATTATCATGAGGCAGTTCAAGTGGAAATCTGTACTCAGTGAATGGTGTCTTTTATAGCTTGGATTCTGAACATTGGTGCCTTTCGGGTTATATAGATATCATTGATAATAATTCAAAATTGAAAGTATCATTATTGACATTACTATAATTAAGAAAATATTAATATTTTACTTCCTTAAGGAAATGATATTGAGAGATATTAATGGCATAAAAAAGAATTAGGTAACATTGACTTGACAATTGTCTTTCCCAGTATACCTTCTCACAGGATGACTGATTGTGTAAAATAGCCAGTAGCTTTGGATGCCTTGCCATATTAATAAGTGGATTCTACCCTGCAACTTGAGGCTTTGAGGCTTTTCTTAATATTGATGTAGGAATGTGACACGACTTTACATCACTTTGTTAATTTGACTTTTCCTTTATTCTGATAATTTTTATATCTATAATACATTGATAACCAGTGATAAAACTATTACTGAAGTGTTGTAAGAATATTAAACTGCAATTGGTAGATTCATAGTGTTACAAATATTACTTATTATGATTTTTTGTAAAGATTTTTATAATTTATTTATCCAATGACTCAGCAACATAAATTTAGAAATAAGATACTAAAAAGGCGTAGAAAGACAATGGGTTATAAATCAGCCACCCTGTGGTCAAGGTCAGCTTCTATGGCTGAAGGGCTAGAAAGTCTTGTCACCACTTCAAACTTCATCATTTACAAAGAAAATAAATGAACTACACAAGTGAGCTTTTTAATAATACTATTCCATAATCTGGGAACATAAGAAAGGTAATAGGATTGGTGTTATGTTGTTTCTACTTTATATGTATATGTGTGTATCTAATTGTGATGTATAAACCCAGCTTATCATTATCCATCCACCACTGACATTTAAAATTCACCACTCATTTCTTCCACATTCATCTACTCTGCACATGCTACATATGTAACACTCATTAATTAGTTTTAATACAACCTGAAAATTATTTTTAAAGAAAGTAAACATTTTAAAATAAAATATTAACTTTAATTTATGGGAAAAAATTCAAGGTGGATGATAGTGTCTTTTTCTATGCCATGGTATGGGAAAGAATGTACAGAATATGAAACTAGAAAAATCCAAGGTATACTCTAAGCAGGAATAACATCCTTGGACATGGTAACTTAGTCACTGAAGAGAGAAATTTCTGTCCTTATCCTCAGTTACTTGTCTGTAAATTGTGAGGTAGATGAGACAAAACCTCTCCCAGCTGTTTCTGGAGTCTCGGGTTTGCACATCAACTTACTTAATTTCTAATTTATCATCAGGCGTATCATTGCAGCCATTTTACCTTGTGAAGAATTCTAAGAACATACCTAGCTTAGAGTCAGTGCTGCCTCCTGGTACCTACCAGGCTTCTCTGACTGGAGACCCAGTCCTCACTCCTTGCCACTCCTCGTACCTTGATCACTCTTCTCATCTTTTAGGTCTGAGATCTTTCCTCTCCTCCCTCTATTCGGGCTATCCTGAAATGACCCATCCTATATCCTAGAAGTTCTAGCTATTGAGCCTGTGGCGTCTCTATAATTGCCCATTATCTCAACTCTTGTTTCTCATTGCCTCGCAAGTGCCCAGAACAGAGCTATATTGGATACATGATCTTGTATGTATCCAATAGTATTAAATTTAGTTTCCTCCAACTGTTTATTAAGTCATTTCCTATTAATTTCATCTTGGCCTATGATATAAATTTACCTTGTTTTCAAGCCTTCTAATATAGATATTTTAACAAATATAAGTGTATGTATAGTCTAAACCAAGCAATCCCTTAGATGTGTTATTTTAGTTAACTCTCCATTTTTTTTATATAAATGTCCAAGCAGCCTTTCTCTTCCACATAGAGAAGATTCCCTACTCCCCAGTTTCTGATAAACTAATTGATTAAGTGTAAATCACTTTACACTTAAGCCCAGAAAGAACTAATAAAATAAATGTTATATCATTGTCATCCTTCACTGTGTGTGTGTTTATAGAGATAAATGTGAACTTTTGTTTTTATTTCTTTGACCAATGAACTGCATTGTCTACAGTACTTGTGTCTATGACACAAAAAGCACTTTAACCATTGTCTCCAAGTGAATACTGTTCAGATTAATTCTTTCTGGAAAAAGCTGTAGTCCCTGGGGAACAGCTTCATATTGAAACAGTCAATGTGTCATTACAGGTAGAAGCACCTATGTGTGATTGTTGGGTGTGTTTACAGAAAGTAGCACCCCAAGAGCAAATGTCTGTCTTTTCAATGGCTAGTAATAAAATGCTTCTGTAATTTTTCTGAGCTAAACAGAAGGGTCATGCACTTTGGATTTATAATCACAAGTATTGTACCTTCCAATACTAAAATTGTCTTTAACCTTTTATTATAAAAATTTTATGATTGTCTTACTTGTCAAGAAGTGTTGGAAAAAATATTCCTGAAACTTTATTTCATTGTGGTGTAAAATTCCAATGTTCAAAGTTTTACTTAGTGCCATACAACTTGCAGAATTTCATATTATTAAAGAATGACATATTTTTTAGCTGAAGGCTTTATATTTATGAAATTCTGTTGTATTTTCATTAAGAACACTAGCTGTTTTCCTGAGTTAGATCTTAAAAATTGAATTTCATGGTCATCATATGCTTGCTGTATTAGTTTTAGCAGCATTTTTTCTAAGTAGTAAGAGAATGTACCAGCGAAACCACACATTCTTTATTCAGTGGTATAGTCTCATGGCCTCCATTTACTTCATGGCCTGGAAACATTTTGATGCACTATCGTTTGCTAATATGTATGAGCTATGTGTCTCTGCTTAGGAGCACTACTTTTAAAAACTTGGTTGTCATGGTTACTCTTGTTACCATTGGCCAACTAACATTAAGCCTTTCTTTTTTTTTTTTTTTTTTTTTCTTTTCTTTTTTTCCTTTCTTATTTATTTATTTTGTGCTGCATTAAATGGAGCAGTAAACCTGACAGGTGAGGAGTAGAGACCAAACCCCTTCCATGCTCAGTAAGAAAAAACTAAGATACAGACACACTTGAAGTATTGATGAGGTGAGGGTGGGGGCCAGCATAAAAGACCCTACCTAGCAAGTGGAAGCTGGACAGAGCCTACATGCAGGTGAAAATTTGGATATTAAAATGATGATGAGGGAAATATTATGCCTTTATGAAAAGAAAACAATGTATTTCATTAGAACCAAATTTAGAAAGCAGAAAAGCCAGTCTCTTGAGTTTTGTGTTAAGGAGTAAATGAGTATATGTGTGTTAATGTGTCTGCAGGTTGGAAATGTGAGTTGTCCTGTAGACCTTTTGTTTCATTTGTTTGTACTCCCTAGAGAACACTCTTACCAAACTCAAAATTATTCCTGTGTTACCCAGGCCTGATTTGCAATAACGGTCTTAATAATAGCTAAAATATACTTAATGACGATTCCAGACTGCTTTCTACTTTTGAAAATACATGCATATTTATTCATATAAACGCTTGATTAAAATTCAAGTAAAAGAAAGATCTCAGAGGTCATCTACCAGCACTTACATTCAGTGGCCTTTAGAGTGTGGTTCCTGGGCCAGCCAGCACTGGAATCATTATTCCTTGAGAACTTTCCAGAAACAGAAATTCTTCATTCTCACCTGAGACAATTAAAGTCACCAACTTTGACACAGAAGCCTATGTTTTAAAGTGCCTTCACGGCCGATTTTTGTATACACTGCTGACACCGCTGTCTCTAAAATTGCCCTATATTGCCCACCAGGCAACAGTGAAATGATAGAACTGTTAAGCCTCCAGGATAGGGTCTCTCTTAGTGAATATCACAAGTTGCTTTTAATCCTACAGAAAAGTACAAACTATTTTCTTTCAGTCAAAACAAATAGAACTTAGAAACTGTTTCTTGTTCTCAGGTTCATTGTAACTATGCAGGCAGGCACTTTTAAAGTTTATAATCCCTTCTCATTGTACTCACATTAGAGTTTGGCTGAAAGTTAAAACATCATCTTCTCTTTCATCAGTGAAGGAACTGGAAAGACGGCCCCTAGCTGACATGCAGTCAGAGAGATTTGAGAACATAATTAGGGACATTGAAACAGTGAAGTATGAACCATTTTTTTTTAAATATTAGGAATAGAGTTTTCATAAAGAGGTTGTATTCAAAACCTGCTTCCAAATCATGAATACAATCTTCTAAACAAACTCAATTTGCTCTGAAGTCCTTCCTCAATGGGAGCTATGTAAAAGGAAAATAGTAGTTTTGATCATTGTGGAATGTCACAAGTTCTTTAGTCTCTTATTAACTGTACAGTTTTTCTATATGGTACATACTTGTTATTTTAAACTGAAATTAAAATTGGATAACTTTAATAGTAAAACTATAATAGGAAAAATTGGAATGTCGAATGTCTCTGGCCACTTTTATAGTTTTCTAATTGAAAATGAAATGATGAAATCTTAAAACATTCATCCAGAAAATGCTATGGCTCATATTCATGCTAGGACTGGTATAAGGTATTCCATTCTCTTCATATTTTATAATACTAAATATTTAAAAATAATTAAACTACTTAGAATGGTCACTGATCATAACCAATTCTTTTCCTTCTTGTGCTTCTTAGACAAGATTTGTGTGTTTGAAAAACTCCAATTCTAGTAAATATGTTTCTACTAGTAGTAAGGTTGTAGGCAGCCACAACTATGCCTTTGGTTTTCATTAAACAAGGCTAAGAGAGTCTTTGATCTTGGTAGTTGTTGAATTTAAGCATACAGAAAAAAAGAAAAATTAGCTATTACATATCCAGAAGCCCCTTTCAGTTTATCATGAACTGTAATTATATGGAATATGTGATTCATAACTTTAATCCCTTATTATGATCTTTCTGAGGCTCCTGTCCTGACAACTGGTGTAATTTCCAGCTTTACTACTACAAAAAGAAAAAAAAAAACTGGTTGAATTTCATTATAGAATGTTCCTTCAGCATAGCCAGTGTCACTCAGCCTGGCCTCTGGGAAAAAGAAGATAAGGAGGCTGTTTGATAATTCTTTCAAGAGTGAGACAGTTTCCTTGCCCAGATATTTCTAATTCTGCTTCCCATGACCTTGAATAAATAGTCATATAGTCACTTTGGAAAGGAAGAATGATTCAGGTTTTAGTCATTGGGTCTGGCACATCAGTAAAGAAGTGTACCTGTGCCTACTTACCCACAAAGGCACAAGCCTGAGAAAAACCCTGGTATGTGACATGAATGGACCACTCTGAGTATTCCCTGAGACTGATTGGCTAGCTGAACTCCTTGTCATTCATTAAGAAATGCTGCATCTTCAGTGATAAAATGAGTATCTCAGTGTTGTGAGACTGAAACCCATTGCATGATTGCTACTCCAAAAGTGATCATTCTGTCCTTCTTTTCCTATCATCTTTCTCATTGCTCTTTCTAATCCTCCACCTCTTCTTTTCATTTTAATTTTATATTACCTGTAACTAGAGGTGCCAGTACTTCAGGCACAATTCAGAATCATCACTTTCCTTAGATTGACATTGTGGCTTGGCTTGGCAGTACATTCTATACTAAGGCTCTCCCTGACAACTTTAGGTAGGGAAATGTAGTCCTGAGATAGATTAATCCAGGGTACTTAGAGGACAATGTGCATAATTGGACCCACCCAAGAAAATGCATTATATCAAGGATATGTCACCAAATCATTGCACTTGAGTAAGTCAACTGTACATCCTCTCTGTGCCAGTCTTCTTTTCATCCCCTCGTTATTTCTATTATGTATAGATGGATGAGCAATAATGAAAAAAAAAATTTGGTTAACTTGCAAAGCATTGAATGCGAGAAAAAGACAAGAACAGTGCTTGCCAGTCATCTATTCCACAGTCACATGAAAAGTATATAGGATAACCTGAAGACATTGAAGCACATGTTTCCCAAAACAAGAATTCTTGCTTTGCACAGGGATGAAATACCACAACTCTGACTATAGTATGGAGACTGCTAGTATAAATATTTTGTAAAGGGCAATCTGAAAAATGCTTCCATTTGCTACATGGGGTTTTCATCTAACTCTCTAAAAGAAATTATTTGGTTTGGATGAAAATGCATGAATAAATCCCAACATTTATTTGAAAATTTGTTTATTTTTTGGAAGCTTAATAGAGTATATCTAATTAAGTCGTCATTAAAACAAGGAGAAGGTGAATTATGTGAAAAATCACACTTATAGAAAAACCTGTTCAGGTGTCTTGAATAATCATCAAGGGAGTTGGCAATTGTGTGAAATAAAATTAAGTTTTTTCTTGCCTTTCTGTGAATGACTGTCATTAACAAAATTAAATTTCATTACATAATACCTCTATACACACCCAGTACTATCATTTTTCCTTCCATGTTGAGAAAGAAAGGGAATCCTTATCTTTTGTAGTCCCAACTCTCCCTCTAGGTATTAGAATAACTTAATATTTTAGAAATATATTTACTGTGCTTACCTCCAATAGAGCTGTATTTTGTAGCCCCCAGTTATATATTCTTTCAAAAGATAAAGGGGCAGGTGTAGAAATAGTTTGAGTTGTTTGCTTTAAGGCCAGGCAGTTTTCCCATGTTAGCTTTGTCTACTAGAGGCATACAGCCCTATTCACCACAAACAGCACTAGCAGACAAGAGGGTTTCGAAGCAAGGATCTGGGTACATCTAACAGCGCCCCATGCAAACCCAAAAATTGGCAATCTGAATTATTTAGCCCCCAAACTGAAGAGAGATTTGTGATTACTTACATTAATGGGACACGAGCACCTGAACAAGGTCACAGAGCGTTTTAATCATATAGCTGTGTAAGAACTTTCAAACCAAAGTGTTGGGGGAACAATGATGGAAGGATTAGTTGGTTGCTTAGTCCTTTGGCTGTTTTCCTCATCTTAAATCTTAAATCTTAATTTTCCCCCTGTAGGAAGAGGGCAGAGTCGGAATCCAGAAAGAGCAGCTTACCAAACAATAAGGAGGTGCCTTCACATCACCCAACAGACCCAGTAGAGCTGAGGCGCCTTAACTTTCAAACACCAGGTAAGTGACTCACCCCATCTGTCACAAGATGCCATAGTCTTATTGGCATTGTCTTGAGAAATGATACATAACTTAGTTTTGAACCATTTTGTCCATCCCGATCTTTTATTTTAATATTGCTGAAGTCCACTTATGTATACAATAGAGAGGAATTCAAGCACTTTGTGAAATCTGAAATGGGACAGAGAAGAGAAAGATGTATCATTTGTCCTCAGCCTTTAGAAAAGTATCTATCATTTTAATGAGAATGACATGGTTTATTTATGTTCAGTGATATCAGTCTGCTTTCTCATCTTATGAAGTAAATGCATGAGTAAATAGATGAAGATGGCAATTGTTCTTCTCATTGGCATATTTATTTCATACTTAAGAATGTAGGAAATAACGAGAGGAAGAAAAGGAAAATAGGGGATACTGATAGAGAGGAGAAAGAGAAGGATGGATCGAATGAGTGAACAATTTTCATTTCTTTTAAAAATTCAATTATACTAAATTTCACTGACCAATCCTTATATCAGCCTGTAGAGACATTTTTAAAAAATTAAGATATGAAATGAATATGTTTTCTTAAAATAAAAAAAAATATTAAGTGCTTCAACAGAGAAAAAATACTATTCTGCTGAGGGAGACTTTTACAGGACTATTACTTTAAGGCTGGATCTACCTTGCCTTTTTCTGACCAAACTGTTTATGTCAAGGGAATAGCACATATCAAATGACAGAGAGAACTAAGACACCACACTGAGCAGTCCTAAGCATCTTCCCATAGTGAGCAAGGCAAAGCATTCTCTAAAGAGTCTTTGGTATTAATATTTGGTTGTTGTAATATACCACACAATTCTGGCAGATGCCTTTTGTTTCTAATTAATGCCTGAATTCTCTAACTCCAAATGTGATACACTGCGGGTTTTAAACTGTACATTCTCGTTGGCTTACCATGTTTAGCATAATTTTTTGCATATAGTTGAACACAGTAACTACTAAATTCAAATGAAAGAGCTGTTCCACATTTTCAAGGTGCCTATACAATCATTGCAAATGTTGAGTTGTTCAAAATTTTGATTTAAATGAGGTTAGGCTTCTTTAAATTTGCCTTTCTGAAGGCAAGCATATGCCTTCATAAGCATAAATGGCAGAGCAAATATTTATAAAACCAAAAGTCTGCTGCATACAACTTTACATAACTGATAAATCTAGTCTGTGAACTTGTCCATGATGGGTGAACACATCTGAGTTGTCTTCTAGGGTCATTGCAGTCCTCTGCATGCATGATGTTGAGTCTCTCCCATGGTGCTCTTTAAAAGTAATTTGATATAAAATAAATTCTTATAATAACTCTACTTTGCTTCATTTTAAAATTGAAGTATACTGACTGCTTTTAATAATTGGCCCAGCAATTCATGTGTTTTCTCTGTTACCTAACTCAATCCATAGAGGACCCCCAAAGACAAAATCTACCCTACATCACATTGCATATCCCTAGAAATCCACTGAGGAAACAAATTGCTCTCTGATGCTACTGTTCACTGCCTATGTGTGAAGTGTGACCTGTGCTGAAAGCAACTATGTCCTTAGAGCAGACATGGCATCATAGTACAGTATTGAATTAAGTGGTCAGACATCAAAAGAAAAGCACATGTGGGTGCCACATCTCTATTTCTATAGCCCGGCAGCAGTCCAGAGACACTTGTCAAGAATGGCTAACAAATACAGGGGATGATGAACAAGAAAATAGCAATGTCTCTTCCAAAAGATCCCATCTTTATGTGTCTTTAGTTAATGTGGATGCTTTTTTAGAACGTGACCAACCTAAACTTTCTCTTAAGAATGCATTTTCTTAGTGCATGTGGGAATGTTAGATTCACTTATGGAGAAAGTGGGCTAAATTCAAACTGTCATGAGTTGCAGCTGAAGTATTATTGCTGTATTATTTACAGAAGTAAAAGTAGAGATTAAAGTGTACAATAAGGTGTCTTTTACATGGAGTTACCTTTGTGGCATAAAGTGCCATAAAGTAGGAAAACATAATGAAAAAGAAGAAAGGAAATGTAGTAAAGAAAAGAGTTTGTCCTGACCCAGCCAGCACAGCCTGTCATTCAGGAAACTTGTCTTATGCTTTCTTTAGCTTAGAGGGAAAATCCACTTAAGCTTGATTCCTGTCTGTATAAGATAGGTTGATGTCCTAAATAATTGGCCATTTACAAATGAAACAGACTGGTGTTAGTGGCAAATACATAGAGATATGCCCATTTTCTTCAGCCCGTATGGATTTCCACCAGTGACTGTGAAATGCCTTAAAAACATGTCATAGGGTGAGAGCAGAAGGTGGGGCTGTAAACAGAGTAAGTGTCTGTAATTTTCCTCCTATATTATTCAAGAATCAGTGATTTTTCTCAGGTGATAAACTGAACTGACCCTTGATTAGACTTTGCTGGTTCTATGATTCTACTTTTTATTTTAAATTTTATACATTTATATATTTCATGTGAAATATGTTACATGCATCATACCTATTAATTTGCAATTATTTGTTCCCAAGAAATATTAACAGTTGAGGATATTTGTTAATGACATGCATAAGTGGGAATATATAACCCATGTCTTCACTCCTAAAAAATATGACATTCAGTGAAATAAGAAAACTGTGATCTATATACCAAGAACCTACCCCAGAACCCAGGAGAGCAGGTGATGCCACATATGACAGGCTGTTAGGAATGATAAAGTAGCAAGCATACATTACCATGTGACACTCCATCAGCTGTGCAGGATAGAGGAAAGTTCATTGTATAACCCTCTTATTCTATTTAAGTTTCTTTTAAAACAAATTTGTGAGACATTTTGTTTATTCTCATTAAAAAGTCTACAACTGAGAAGTCAGATTTTTTTTTAAATTTTGATGGATGGTCTAGTTGTCACATGACAGTATTCTGACAGTTTAGCAGTACCACCGACACATTTTGATCATAAGGAAATCAGAATTCTGTCCACTGTTGCATTGCTGAGGCAAAATTTTTTGTTAGCATACTTGTAAAATTTTGGGCAAGAATCTAGTCCTGATGTTAAAGCCATACTTGAGCATCTGAAAAAGCCATGAGGACACAGGTTTGTTAATATTATCCACAACTATGTATTTCTTGATTAAAGTTCAAAGTGCATTATATAGACAGGATGCATTTGACAGAACCTAGGCTACTTAATCCATTAAGATAATTACATCTTACATCAGTAGGTCCTTAGTTATTTGTGTACTGGGCTAGATAGCATTGTTATGGGATGGGCAGTTAGACATCTTTCTAACCCTAGCAGTAACTTTTTAGATTTAAGTGAAATCTTGGTAGAGGTATGTTACTCTCCTGCCCTCAGCAGAATAAGTTGGGGAGAATGAGTGAAAGAGAGAAGAAAGGCAGTATAGGAATACATTAAAATTATCAACTCCTAGTCAAATATTTTTAGACAACTTTTACAAATGTTTATGTTCTGTGAAAAGGGGGAAAGGATTAAATTATACAAGAAACTTTCAGAAGAAACCCTAGGTCCACTGAGATGGCTCAGGAGGTAGGGGCTTCTCCTTTCAAGCCAGACAACACAAGTTCCACCCCCATGACCCACAGGAGGGAATATGCTCAAGTACACACACACACAATGTAAATGTAGTAATTAAGCCTTACATGCTTTTTCCTAGAATAAATGATTTGTGAGTTAGGGATCATTGGCATCTAGGCTTCGAATTGGCAAAAGTGAACTATGCCTGTTGACCTTCACTGCAAAGAAATAATTCCTTTTTTCTTTTATTGTAACCTCCATATAGCTTTTGACTGCCTTCCCAGTATACCTTGCTTATACTTACAAAAGCAGTATATATTTGTAATGGAGGGAATTTCAGAAAATTAAAACTGGTGCTTGTTGACATTGGATGTAGGTTTTGCCTAAACCACCATTCACTGATAGTGTTTCAAGTTTTATATGTATGAATTTTTTGATAATTTTAAGTGGGAAATGGTCAAGTAAAGGTTTCTCAGATAAGAATAAACTTTATCTCATGAATTTCAAGTCTTCTTTTTAGCATATGTTAAATAAAAAAGGACTTTTTGATAACTACTCTGACCTTACCTGTGTATCTGTCTTCTAAGCCTCAACACATGACCTTCTGAGCTTCAGCTTGTGTGGATCCCTCTAAATTCAAATATATAGTAGGTGTGTAGATAGGGACCACAAACACAATTCTTTGCTTTAATGTTGTGATATGGAAACAAAGGCCTTTTCCAAGTTAAAGTATGATTTTTTTTTTTTTTTTGTTCCTTTTGGCAGTTTACAGTACAGATTTCATTCTCTTCTCCAGATTTCAGTGTGTGCTAAGCCATTCCATATTCATGAAATCTGCCTTTCATGTCTTGTGGTTCTTTTCAAACCATTGTCACAATTTCTGTATACCAGATGCCAGAAAATGTGATAGCAAAGACCTTTATCATTCTGATAAAGATTACCAGTTAACAATATTTTTTAATATTGTAAAAGTTATTTACTGGCAATTTTCCCTCCCTAGTCCATGGCCACTAGAAAGGCAAAAAGTGAGATAAAAGACATTGTAAAAGATGGGAATATATAAGGAGAGACAGGGGAGAGAAGGGAGGGAGAGAGGAAGGAAGGAAGAAAGGAAGGAAGGAAGGAAGGAAGGAAGGAAGGAAGGAAGAAAAGGACAAGCAGGTATATGTTCATATTTGTACATTTTCCAGCAAAGCAAATTGAGTTCACTCTCAAGAGAATCCTGTGTTCTGTCCAGTACACAGGACTGGAGAAGGAAGGGCAACCAATAGTCTGGGACCCAGTGCCAGCCACCGCCAAACTGACTGCTTTTGTTGCCCTGCTCTCCCTTCCCATCACAAAAAATATCCAAACACTGAGTTTCAGAACTGAAAAGCAGAGGCCACAGCTTTAAGGCTGCCTTTCAGTATGCGGCTGACCTTAGTATGTTTTGCCTGAAAGAAAACATGGCTGGC